ATTTTGAAGGAAAACTTCTTCAGACTCGCTTACTATAAATCCATGAAAAATGCAATACAAGTGTATAATTTTAACAAGTTCTTTTTATTAATTTAGGTATTTTATACTTAAGTACTTAAAACCTGAGTCAAAACTCAAAACATTTTAATATTCCTAAAATATAGTAATTTTTATCATAACATTTATTTATATTTTTATTTATAACTAGCTGACCCGGCAAACGTTGTTTTGCTAAGTAAGGTATATTCTAAACAATTTCTAGAGAATCAAAAATATTTCAAACGAACGATTAGCTGACTACGTTCAGTAAAACTACAGACTTCGTCATTTTAAAAATGTGCTTTTTTTGCTGTCTTTCAAAAATTTGTTATCTAGACCTTTTTACCCTATAGGCGGGGTAACTTGGAACAGCCAGATGGCAAACAGGTTTAATGTCTTATTTTAATTTTAAAGGTATTTTACAAAATAATTACATTTTTAACTAATGCTAAAAAGCTACCAACAGAAGAAAATACTTTTACTATGGATTTTCAAAGATGACCGTTTATCTCCCAATATCAAAGTCATAAGAATCAAGGTTATAGCTAGTTATACATCTTTCTCCCTTCACTTTCAAATAATGTTGTTAAACAATGCTTCAGCTTTACTGGATTTTGACACTTTGGTCGTGAAGCTTTTAACCCCGTACCTTCATATATTACTAACCATTCTTTGATAAATTCTGGGAAATTATAACTGGGAATAAGTTATTCGACAAAATATACATGTAAATGTAAGTAATGCTCTTTTTCAGTCTTGGTCGCGGCATTATTATTAAACTTCACTTCACCTTATATATATATATATATATATATATATATATATATATATATATAGTCTTGGTCGCGGCATTATTATTAAACTTCACTTGACCTTATATATATATATATATATATATATATATATATATATATATATAGTATCATAGATTGAATAAACTACATGGATAGTTTATAAATAATTAATTCTGAATTAGAATGAAAAACGGGCTCTAAACTACCTCTCTGCCACCAATTACTGAGCCACAGCAACGCGTGGCCGGGCTAGCTAGTATTTTTTTTATATATATAAATATACTATCAATTAAACTGAAAATCGGGATAAAAAGTATCCTAAGTCCTTCTCCTGGCTCTAAACTACCTCCCTGCCTATTTTCATCTAAATCGGTTCAGCCGTTCGTGAGTTATAAGTGTTAGCACATAAAGCGTCCTCTTTTATATATATAGATATCAAATTCTACTTAAAAAGGGCCTTTAATCGATACCCCACATGCCATAAAACACTGATGTAATATTTTGAAGCAAAACTTCTTTAGACTCGCTTATTACAAATCCATGAAAAATGCAATACAGGTGTATAATTTTGACAAATTCCACAATTACTTCTGGTACTTGATCCAACTTTCAAAACCTGCTTCGAAACACTGACATTTTAATTATTCTTTAACATTATAATATTTTTTGCAATAAAACTGTAGTAATATTTATGTTTTTATTTGTGAAATTGTTTCTGCTTAAAAATAGCTTTTAATAGATACCTCACATGCCATAAAACACTGATGTAATATTTTGAAGTAAAACTTCTTTAGACTCGCTTACTATAAATCCATGAAAAATGCAATACATGTGTATAATTTTGACAAATTCCACAATCACTTCTGGCACTTGATTCATCATTTAAAACCTGAATCAAAACTCTGACATTTTATAATATTCTTTGTCATTATAATATTTTTTAGCATTAAAACTACAGTAATATTTATAATATGTTTTTATTTAGAAAATCGTATTCTACTTAAAAATAGCTTTTATTCAATACCTCACATGTCATAAAATACTCATGAAATATTTTGAAGTAAAACTTCTTTAGACTCGCTTACTATAAATCGATAAAAAATGCAATAAAAGTGTATAATTTTAACAAATTCCCTAATTACTTCTGGTACTTGATCCAACATTCAAAACCTGCTTCGTAACACTGACATTTTAATTATTCTTTAACATTATAATATTTTTTGCATTAAAATTACAGTAATATTTATAACATGTTTTTATTTAGAAAATCGTATTCTACTTGAAAAAAGCTTTTATTCGATACCTCACATGTCATAAAATACTCATGAAATATTTTGAAGTAAAACTTCTTTAGGTTCGCTTGCTACAAATCCATGAAAAATACAAGTGTATAATTTTAACAAATTTTATTTTAATTTTGGTATTTGATTACTTAAAAGATTTGAACTACTTAAAACTTGACTCAAAACTCATAATATTTAAATATTCCTGAAATATAGTAATATATATTTATCATAACATTTATTTATATTTTTATTTATAAAATTATATTCTACTTAAAAATAGCTTTTAATCGATACCTCACATGCCATAAAACACTTATGAAATATTTTGAAGTAAAACTTCTTCAGGTTCGCTTACTACAAATCCATGAAAAATGCAATACATGTGTATAATTTTAACAAATTCCCTAATTACTTCTGGTACTTGATTCATCATTTAAAACCTGATTCGAAACTCTGACATTTTAATATTCTTTGTCAATATAATATTTTTTTGCATTAAAACTACAGTAATATTTATAACATGTTTATATTTAGAAAATCGTATTCTACTTGAAAATAGCTTTTAATTGATACCTCACATGGCATAAAACACTGATGTAATATTTTGAAGTAAAACTTCTTTAGACTCGCTTACTATAAATCTATAAAAAATGCAATACAAGTGTATAATTTTAAAAAATTCGATCATTTCTTTTGGATTTTGTTACTTAAGTACTTAAAACCTGACTCAAAACTCAAAATATTTTAATATTCCTAAAATATAGTAATATTATTTATAACATTTATTTATATTTTATTGATACCTCACATGAATTAAAACTTCTTTAGACTCGCTAATTACAAATCAATGAAAAATGTAATACATAATTTTGAAAAATTTTATTTTTACTTTATGTATTTGATACTTAAGTACTTAGAACCTGACTCATATCTCAGACATTTTAATATTCCTTAGTTTTATTTTTTTAAATAAAACTATAGTAATATTCATTATAACATGTTTTTATTTAGAAAATCATATTCTACTTGAAAATAGCTTTCAATCGATACCTCACATGTCATAAAACACTCACGAAACATTTTTAAGTAAAACTTCTTTAGGTTCGCGTGCTACAAATCCAAGAAAAATACAATACAAGTGTATAATTTTAACAAATTTTAATTTAATTTTGGTATTTGAAACTTGGCTACTTAGAACCTGACTCAAAACTTGAAACATTTTAATATTCCTAAATATAGTAATATTTATCATAACATTTATTTATATTTCTATTTATACTTTCATATTCTATTTGAAAAGATCTTTTAATCGACACCCCACACGCCATAAAACACTCATAAAATATTTTGAAGTAAAACTTCTTTAGGCTCACTTAGTATAAATCCATGATAAATGCAATACAGGTGTATAATTTTAACAAATCCGTTATTCCTTTTGGTATTTTATACTTAAGTACTTAAAACCTGACTTATAAAACTCAAAACTTTCTATTATTCCTAAAATATAGTAATATTTATCATAACATTTATTTATATTTTTATTTATACAATCATATTCTACTTAAAAATAGCTTTTAATCGATACCTCACATGCCATAAAACACTCCTGAAATATTTTGAAGTAAAACTTCTTTAGACTCGCTTAGTACAAATCTATGATAAAAGCAATACAGGTGTATAATTTTAACAAATCCATTATTTCTTTTGGTATTTTATACTTAAGTACTTAAAACCTGACTTATAAAACTCAAAACTTTTTATTATTCCTAAAATATAGTAATATTTATCATAACATTTATTTATATTTTTATTTATACAATCATATTCTACTTAAAAATAGCTTTTAATCGATACCTCACATGCCATAAAACACTCCTGAAATATTTTGAAGTAAAACTTCTTTAGACTCGCTTAGTACAAATCTATGATAAAAGCAATACAGGTGTATAATTTTAACAAATCCATTATTTCTTTTGGTATTTTATACTTAAGTACTTAAAACCTGACTTATAAAACTCAAAACTTTTTATTATTCCTAAAATATAGTAATATTTATCATAACATTTATTTATATTTTTATTTATACAATCATATTCTACTTAAAAATAGCTTTTAATCGATACCTCACATGCCAAAAAACGCTCCTGAAATATTTTGAAGTAAAACTTCTTTAGACTCACTTAGTACAAATCCATGATAAATACAATACAAGTGTATAATTTTAACAAATCCATTATTTCTTTTGGTATTTGTTACTTAAGTACTTAAAACCTGACTTATAAAACTCAAAACTTTCTATTATTTCTAAAATATAGTAATATTTATCATAACATTTATTTATATTTTTATTTATACAATCATATTTTATTTAAAAAGAGCTATTAATCGACACCCCACACGCCATAAGACACTCATGAAATATTTTGAAGTAAAACTTCTTTAGACTCGCTTAGTACAAATCCATGATAAAGCAATACAAGTGTATAATTTTAACAAATCTATTATTTCTTTTGGTCTTTTATACTTAAGTACTTAAAACCTGACTTATAAAACTCAAAACTTTTTATTATTCCTAAAATATAGTAATATTTATCATAACATTTATTTATATTTTTATTTATACAATCATATTCTACTTAAAAAGAGCTTTTATTCGACAACCCACACGCCATAAAACACTCATGAAATATTTTGAAGTAAAACTTCTTTAGACAAAACACTGTACAGGACAAAAGACTAGTACAAAAAAGGGGTTATGTTTCAAGAATTCTACATAAGCTACATATTATAATAGATTATTATCTTTATTAAATTTTATCAGAAAGTAATAAACATGAGATAAATTATGATATTTTCTTCATAACTAAGAAGTAAGTGCTGTTCTTTTGGCTTACTACAAATCCATGAAAAAATGCAATACAAGTGTATAATTTTAACGAATCCCATTATTTCTTTTGGTATATACATATATACACTAAACATATATTACATAAAACATCATCAGCTTTTTCAACAACTATTTTTTATCATTCATCAAGCAATTCAGCAGGTGGCAACATGATGACCGGTTCCAAAACTTGTGCATTTTCATTTTGAATCAACCGATACCTACATAAATAGACAACACTATTAACCAAATTATGTTTAACCGTAAGGTCATGAATAGTTTTTTCAGCTTCATCGGTTTCAGCCCCAATAGCAACTTTGCAAACATCGATTACTTGTCCAAGTTTAAATATTGGGTCTGACGGTCTCAGATCTTCAATCACTTCAAGATCAAAGTTGAAAATGATGTTGTTGTAAAAGCAATTCGGTGGAACATCCTTTGGGAAAATAAATTTGCGCACCATCAATTGGCATGTCGATTTACTTAGAATTGTTCCTGCTGTGCCCATTATTAGTTCAACTCTGGAAATGATATGAAAGATTGATGGATAGGTATTAAATTATTAATCATTAATTATTACCTGGCTACGATGGTAGTATTTTGAGATAGCTCTTTGTCCTTTTTGGTTTTTAGTAATACATAACTCCCAATTCGAATAACCAAGTCGTTAACTTGGACACCCCTAGAAAAATAATTAATTCATTATTTCTAATTTTCTGAAAAGTTCATGCATTTGGTGGGAAACCCAATTTTATTGTAAAATCGTATTCTACTTAAAAATAGCTTTTAATAGATACCTCACATGCCATGAAACACTCATGAAATATTTTGAAGTAAAACTTCTTTAGACTCGCTTACTACAAATGCTTGAAACTCAGCCATTTTAATTCTCTTTAAAATTATAATATTGTTTTTTGCAATAAAACTATAGTAATATTTATCATAGCATGTTTTTATTTATAAAATCGTATTCTACTCAAAAATAGCTTGTAATCGATATCTCACATGCCATAAAACACTCATGAAATATTTTGAAGTAAAACTTCTTTAGACTCGCTTACTACAAATTCATGAAAAATGCAATGAAAGTGTATAATTTTGACAAATTCCAAAATTAATTTTGGTACTTGATCCAAAATTTAAAACCTGTTTCGAAACTCAAATATTTTAATATAATAATATTTTTTGCAATAAAACTATAGTAATATTTATCATAAAATGTTTTTATTTATAAAATCGTATTCTAGTCAAAAATAGCTTTCAATCGATACCTCATATGCCATGAAACACTCATGAAATATTTTGAAGTAAAACTTCTTTAGACTCGCTTACTACAAATTCTTGAAAAATGCAATGAAAATGTATAATTTTGACAAATTCCAAAATTAATTTTGGTACTTGATGCAAAATTTAAAACCTGTTTCAAAACTCAGATATTTTAATATAATAATATTTTTTTGCAATAAAACTTTAGTAATTTATCATGACATGTTTTTATTTATAAAATCGTATTCTACTCAAAAATAGTTTTTAATCGATACCTCACATGCCATGAAACACTCATGAAATATTTTGAAGTAAAACTTCTTTAGACTCGCTTACTACAAATTCATGAAAAATGCAATAAAAGTGTATAATTTCAACAAATTCCAAAATTAATTTTGATACTTGATGCAAAATTTAAAACCTGTTTCGAAACTCAGATACTTTAATATAATAATAATATTTTGCAATAAAACTATAGTAATATTTATCATAACATGTTTTTATTTATAAAATCGTATTCTACTCAAAAATAGCTTTCAATTGATACCTCACATGCCATGAAACACTCATGAAATATTTTGAAGTAAAACTTCTTTAGACTCGCTTACTACAAATTCATTAAAAATGTAATAAAAATGTATAATTTTGACAAATTCCAAAATATGGGTGTAAATTTTTCAGGTCAGATGTTGTCTCTTTGGTTAGTTGTTTTTTTTATTTATTTATTTGATATAATTCATACATACTGTATCTCAGTCAGACAATTGTTGTGGTATGAGAGATCACAGCAATTATAACAAAAATAAAATCTAAATTTTATGTAACAGACTTACATTAAGACATATATATTTACTTATTACTATTATACACACAGACAGAACGCTTGCGTACATACATACATACTTATACTTAATTGTAATTAATATTTTTTACAAAACAGAAGTAATATAGTATTTAAAATAAAGAATTTTATCTCATTTATTTCATTTATCTCTTATGTAATTTTTCAATTTAATTTTGAAACTGTTTAGGTCCGTCATAGTCTTTACTTCCTCCGGTAGTTTATTGTAAAGGCTGCTTGCACTTCTCAGAGGACTTGCAAGTCCTTTACTAGTTTTAGCATGTTTCATGTGAAAGTTTCAGTTTTGACTCGTTTGATGGTCGTGTATATCTTGGTTTGTCTCTATTGTGGTGCAAGTTTTGATTTTGTTATTTTTTATTTTGAATATTAGTATACATTTTTCTATTTCTATTGTTTTGTGTAGTGGCATGTTCTTTGTCTTTTGTAGAAGTTCTTTTGTCGGGGTGAGGTAGGAATAATTGTAAGTTGATTTTATTGCTTTATTCATCATTCTTTGTAGTGTCTTTATATTTTTATTTGTTGTTTGACTCCAAATCGCGATGCCGTACGTTAAAATCGGCATTATATGAGATTTTAATATTAGTTCCTTGTTCTTAATTCCAAGATGTCGTATTCTTCTTATGGCTCCAGAAAGTGCTGCAATTTTTTGTTTGATTTTTTCAATTTGGTCACTCCATTCTAAATTCTGGTTTATAATCATACCCAAATATTTAGTTTTTTCCATTTTTTTTGTTCAGTATCGTTGACTAATATTTTTATATTGCTTATTTTTTAATTTTGTTACGTCGGAAAAATATATAATTAGTTTTATCTGTATTTATAGTGAGTTTATTTTCTGTCAACCATGTTGTATATTTCTTTAAGTCATCATTGATTTTTTTTTCTAGTTTCCCCAAATCTTTATCGGCGTATATAATCATGGTGTCATCTGCGTACACTATGTATCTACATTCTAAAATGTTTGTCCTTTAAGTTGTTAATATATATTAAGTATAATAGTGGACCTAGGACTGTTCCCTGTGGTACTCCGCATTTGACCAATTTTTTATAGCTGAAGCAATTTCCTATTTTGGTCCTTACTTCTCTTTCAGATAAGAAGTCTTGAATTATGTTGTGCATCGTACCCTGATGTCTCATATTTCTAAGTTGCTGAAAAAGAATTTGGTGGTCTACAGTGTCGAAGGCTTTTTTTAAGTCTATAAATATTGCAATTGTGTGTCTATTGTTTTCTAGGTGTTCATTTATTAAGTTAGTGGCATCTATTAAGGCGGATTGAGTACTTGATTTTGGTAAAAAGCCATATTGGTATTTATCTATTGAATCATTTTCTATCAAGAATTGTAATATTCTCTTCTTAATGACTTTTTCATATACTTTTGAGAGGACGTTAGTTACAGTGATAGGTCTATAGTTGTTTGGGTCCAGTTTATCTCCTGTTTTGAAAATTGGTTTAATTGTAGCTGTTTTTAAACACACCTTATCGATGCATTTATTAATAATTTTAGAAAGGATTGGAGTTATAATATCTGATGTTTCTTTTATTATTTTCGCTGTTATATTATCATCCCCAGGTGCGGCGTTGGGGATTCTTTTTTATATTTTTTTCTTTTCTACCATAATTTCTTGTTTTTGTTGATTTTTTATTTGTTCTATTTCTATTTTATGTTTTTCTACTTTTCTTGTCAGAGTGTTATTTATTAAATTCCAGATTTTTCTTGGGTCATTTTCACATTTTCTTGTTTGTTTGTCTGCTGTAAGTTTCTGTCTAAATATTAATGCACGTACGGTTTATGTCAGTTGGATCGTTATCAGTAATGTTATAGTTAATATTAATAACATATTATCAGGAACAAACACTCAATTATATATTATAATAAATAATCTATTCTAAACTCACTTATAAAATAACTGATCTGGGAAAATATCTTTAAACTGTGGCAGAGATAAGGCTTCGCCAACCCATTTATAAGTGTTTCGGCCAGTATTCATGCCCAAAGTCATTCTATTTTTCACAAACCAAATAATGTATCAACTTTTAATTGTAAATTAATTTTTACCTAAATATTAAATTAGTTAAATATGTTATCAAATTTATGTTTGTTTTTGATTTGACAGCTGACAAACGCGCCAAAGACTGAATTGAGTGAAGTTAGGTGAATACAAAATGGCGGTTTTCTTAGATCTTTTGAAAATATATTTTGCCCGCGAATTTTAAATTTTGTAATTATTTTATTTATAAATTATTATTTTTAAATTTGCATAAACTTCTAAATATAATAGAACGTTTAGTTGATCTTTTTTTTAAATTCCAAATTTAGTTTACATTGAGTCTACAGCATTATATTATTAGATATATTATAATATACTATTACATTATATTAGATGGATTATATTTTTAACTTCCCGAAGGAGAAGTTTACGTTTTCATCAAAAAATCCGATTCGCTAATTTTATGTTTTCTCGACGTTTTCAGCCATTCTGAATCGAATGAGACCAAATTTTGGAAAAAGCATGTATGTGTGCGTGTATGTGAACAGATTTTTTAGCGTAAATCGACGTTTTCTCAAAAACGCCTGAACCGATTTCAGAAATTTAAAAACCATTTGTTGTATCTCAACGAGGACTATCGTTTGTCAGTTTTGTGAGACGATCTGCCGAGCCGTTTCTTTGTAATTTGGAAAAAGTGTTAAACTTTTCGTCCACATTTAAGCTTGCTACCGAATCGATTTTGAAAAATCAAAAACTGTCCGAAAGATATTAGTTGGGACTGATACTGATTAGTTTTAGGTAAAAATCCTCCGAGTTAACGTGTTCGTTCGTTTTCGATTATGTGTAATAAATCCACTCGGAATGCTTTTAATTACTCATAAATTAATTTATTTTTCATTAATTAAGTCGATTATTTACGCATATCAAGGAGTTCATGTAACTTGCCTAAAGGCAAAATACCATTACCAACTAGTTAGATTTTGTTTATTAAGTTATTGTAATAGTCGAAAAATTGAAATTGAAATTATTTGCCTTTCTTTACGTTTGAGAGCTTTCTGAGCATTCTGGAATACCTTAGAAAAAATGGATGTGTGTGTGTATGTATGCATGTGTGGATACAATTTTTACGACGTTTTCGGGAGCACCGCTCAACCGATTTCAATGATTCGATTCCTACTTATGTAAGTCCAGCCGTTTCCGAAATACGAAGCAAAAAGTGCAGAAAATGGAAATTGAGTTTTTGAGAGAACAGAGCATCCGATTTGAATGATTGAAAAAACATTCAATTCTTAATGATGGGGAGACGTTGTGATTAGTTTCTGGCAAAGACCGGCCCAGCCGTTTCAGAGATAAGAGACTAAAAGTGTAAAAAATTGCAGTTTTTGAGAGACGAAGCATCCGAAAATGGATGTGTGTATGTGTATGTCTGCATGTGTGGATATAATTTTTTACGACGTTTTCGGGAGCACCGCTCAACCGATTTCAATGATTCGATTCCTACTTATGTAAGTCCAGCCATTTCCGAAATACGAAGCAAAAAGTGCAGAAAATGGAAATTGAGTTTTTGAGAGAACAGAGCATCCGATTTGAATGATTGAAAAAACATTCAATTTTTAATGATGATAATGTGATTAGTTTCTGGCAAAGACCGGCCCAGCCGTTTCAGAGATAAGGAGGTAAAAGGGTAAAAAATTGCAGTTTTTGAGAGACAAAGCATCCGATTTGAATGATTCAAAAAACATTTTGAATGTGAAGAGACGATTAGTTTTTAGGTAAAACCATTTTTTTAAAAAATTAATGATTTTTCTAATTTTTAACTTTTTCTAAATATCGAAAATTGGGATTCTGTGGAACTTCCCGTACCAAAAACTAAATTATTAAAAAAAAGCTTTGCAAAACTTTAAAAATGAGAAATTTAAATTTTTTGAAAAAAATTGACCTGCATTGACAAAAATTTTACCGGTTGTTTATTTCGTCAATACAAGTAAAATGTTTTTTGAATTATTAAAATCGGACGCTCCGTTCTCTTAAAAACTGAGTTACCGTTTTTGACATTTGCCTCGTATCTTCGGAACGGCTAGACCTGCCTTTGTCAAAAACTGACCAGCACATCTCCTTATCAATACGAATCGAATGTTTTTTGAACTATTTAAATCGGTTGATCGGTGTTCCCAAAATCGTTGACGAAAATTTGTATCCGCACACACACACAAACACGTACCTTTTTCTAAGGTATGCCAAAATGTTCAGAAACGCCTGAAACGTAAAGATCTATAAAATTTTCATTTTCAATTTTTTTGCGATTACTATATCTTGCCCTACGGGAAGTTAAAGATTTTTGTTTCATTTTTTTTTTTTTTGAAAAAAATTTGTTTGTATATCGAAAATAATTCAGATTTTAATTTTAATTCTGACTAAAGTTCTAATATACTTTAAACAAATAATTTTAACTTTGCAATTCAGTTTATATAATTCTTATAAATATCATACAATGTTACAATATTTATAAAAATCTATTTGAAAACATTTAATATTTTTCGAACATTTTGTTACGGTACGGGAAGTTTCAGCAATTTCCATAAGGCACGATGCCATACACCACTAGTTTTTTAATATAAGAATTGAATTTACATCAAAAACATTAGTAGATTAAAAATTAATATATTTTCAAAATACAATTCATATTATAATTATAATTCATATTATATAAATAAATAAATATTATAAATTCATTTAATAAACATTAACAATTTATAGGTTACAATTTTTTTCCTCTAATAAGAAACTTTCCTTCTGGTGAAAATGTTTCATATGAGTCTTCACACTCGATGGAAGTATAAAAGGCTTTTTACAAATTGTGCATTCTGATGTTGGGTTAACATGCAAAGAAAACATATGATCTCTGAGCATGCTGTCCGATTTGAAATACATTTTACAAATTTGACATCTTAAATATCTCTTCTTGTTATGGTAGTATCTTAAATGTGCTGTTAATTTACTCGAGCAATAAAATTTCTTAGAACAAATCTCACATTGATATTGTAATCTGTGTGTATCCTGGTGGGATATTAAATCAAGCCTGTCTTCGAAAGATTGTTTACAGATACTACACTTGAATAAAACCTTGCGTAAATGTTCTGTTATTATATGACTTGCCAGTTTTGATCGATTGTTGAAAATTTCTGTGCATATTTTGCACTTGAATCTCATTTCTAAATGTTTTGCTAAATGTTGATTGAAAGAGTGTCTTGATTTGAACGAGTTTTTGCAGTGTTTACATTTGTATATACCTTGTTGCAAGTGTATGCGATATTGAGCATACCTAGAAAACTCTTCATTGCAACTACTACATTTGTAAGACTCTGTTCCAAAATGTGTGTTCAGATGAAATCTTAAACCTGGTCTAGACATGAACAACCTGTCACAATAGGTGCATTTGTGATACCTTCTCGCCTTATGTATTTTTAAGTGCCTCGATAAATAAATACCTAATGTAAAAACCTTTGGGCAATGTCTACATCGATACACTTTATCTCTGACATGCGTTTTAACATGTCTAGTTAAATGATGTTTATATGCAAAGGCTCTGTTACAAATATGACATTTGAAGGGTTTTTCAACATTTACCACTTTGTTGGAACTTTCTTCATTCTTGTCCAAGTATTGTGTACTTTTTTTAACCTGTGTGCACTGCTTGAATAGATCAGGGGATTCTCTCAGGCTGAGATATTTGTCCACAAATTCTTCCTGCGACTTGATATCAGTATCAAAAATATTGCAGCCGGATTTTATATCTAATCTAATATCCCATAAATCATCATTGTTATTATTATTATCATTACTGCCAAAAGAACTCTCAAGGTTGGCCATAGAGTTTGACTCTACAAAACCTAAAACCTGATTTTTATCCATTACATCTGAAAAAGAAAAACATAGTTAGCACACGCATTTTTAAAATTAATATACAACTAATTACAATGTAATTATGTATATATTTATATATAAATAATATAAAATCCAACATTACTTACGAATTAAATTACGATTCCATTAGCACAAAAAGAAGCGCCAAACTGGTTCGCTTATGAATCTGCCATTACATGTCTACCGCCTTCGTCGAAATATGGCGGGTGTTTTTTTAATAACATAAATTATTGCTTAAGTTATAATTATAACATAACATATATGAGAAATAACATTGGGTTTATAAAATAAAATATTAAATGTTTATAAAGAAATAATTGGAAATGCATTTATATATATGTAAAGAATTGCTTTTTGATTTTTTTACCGTAGCATATATGTTATTTAAGTATTCGGTATTCGGCCGAATAGTATAAATGATGTCAAATTTTTCAAATAAGAAAGTGTAACCAAATAGTAGTGGCAAGCCTAGGCATAAAAATTGAATATACCTGCAGTACGTTAGTAAAATAACAACTGCAAATAGTAATTACCTTAAAAGGAACGAATTTAGGCGTTGAAAAGCTGCCGAATATTCGGTATTCGGTCTCTGAAATATGCCGAATATTCGGTATTCGGCATTTTGCCGAATATAGTATTCGTTGCAAGCCTAATTCTAATATTGTCCAGACTTAAGGCAACTTGCTTCAACGGCTTTAACTTCCTGATATGTGTATATAATAATCTTCTATATATATAAAAATAAGTCGGGTTTTCCTTCCTGACGAAATAACTCCAGAACGCACGATTTCGACAATTTTGCATTCGTTGGAAAGGTCTCGGGTTCCACAAGGGCTATAGCTAAGAAAATTAGTGGTGCATGGCATCGTGTCCTAATGCAAATTCCTGGAACTTCACGCACCGTGATTAAAAATTCGATTAATAAAAATAATCAATAATTGTTTTAAATAATTGCAGATAGATTATCTTCTATATGTATATAAAAATATGTCGGGTTTTCCTTCCTGATTTATTTTTTTCTTTTCAAATTTAAAACAAACAAAAAATTTCTTCATCTTTCTCACGAAAACATCTGGTGGGGAAACGGAGTTCATCGTGTTTGCTAGTATTATATTATTATGAGTTTTCATAAGCACTCGACTGTTATCCCAAGGATGCAATTTATTATTCAAAACTTTTATAATCAAACCACATTTTGTAAGCCTATAAAATTTTATGATATTCCTGTAAACCCTGAACAAAGCTTCATTGATCATGAAGAAACGGCCCGGCTGATCTTTACGAAAAACTAATCACCATGGAGACTTGTGCACAAGTCTCGATAGACGTAGTATGAAAATTGTGATTGAATATAAATAAAGTTTACATGATTTGGCCATAGACCTTATACAATACATGAAATTGTATAAGGTCTATGGATTTGGCGCATTGGTTTCTACAAATTTGCATCTTACAAATTATCGAATCCATCTTAAAATAATCTTGGCAAAATTATAGATAATCAAATTTATCTTAGATATTATATATGCAAAATTCTTTATTATTATAAATTGTTATTAAACTTGAACATGTGCTTTCAAATCACGTTAGAATATTTAGCTAACACATGTCTTTTGAATTATCTAATTTATCTTAAAACAATATCTTTCATATTTGCAAATAGTTAAGGTACCTACACGTAAATAATCAAAATTAGTACAGGATTCTTGCAAAGCTATTGGCAGAAAACGTCAATAAAAGATCAAATTTTGTCACAAAAGGGTACTTTTTTATATATTGCGGTCAAACGCTTCAGAATGACTTGAAACAAAAGATTCGCAAATTGGAGTTTCTAGCGAAAACTTAAACGACTCGTTCAAAAAGTGAATGAATATCATATTTGTTATCTACTTTTCAAGATCTATTAATTAATAATTATATTAATACCTTTAATATTTTTTTTTAATTTCAGCCACATCATCCCTTCTTCCTTACTTGACGATTCACATGCAAAGTATCGGCCTGACAGTTGAAGAAATTGCTATAATTTATTTAGCACTACCATTCACAACATTTTTGAGTCCACCTATAACAGGTAAAAGAAATGCTTTTATTAAATAATTTATTGATTTTTTCACAATTTGTTTTTTTTTTTCCAGGTTTTCTCGTGGACAAGTTTGGCAAATACAAACCAGTTGTAATAATGACTTTATTATTAAATGCTGTTTTCCATCACTCACTCTTGTTCATACCACACCAGGAGACTCCTGGGGTTGTTCCTGATGCTTACATTATGAAACATCCTGAAAAACTTTACATAGAGGTATAGTAATAATTAAAATATTTTTTTTTGTAATTTTAATCTGTCACACTTAGGACATTCAGTAATTGTTTTGACTTTATTATATGGATGGCAACCCAGTAGTTGTCCAATCTAGTTATGACTAATTAACTATAAGTATATATACTCGAAGTATTAGCTGATATTTTTATTATGTTTATGCAACTATACCCACGATAGGCGATTTTCACTTGAGGCTATATTTAAGATCTATAACCTCAAGTGGAAATTTGACATCAAATTTGCCTGATGTCGGACTTTGGCGGTAGCGGCAATCAAACCAAGGAACCCGGGACTAATTGGTGCTAGCTCACGTTAGAGCCAATATTGCCACCACTGGCTTTTTTTAGACAACTTACAATTTATAATATTCAATAGTTTCAGACAAAAAACATCATTTTAAACCAATTTACAACATTTTCAGACAACATTTTTAGGAAATCCACAGAATTTTTAGACAATCTTTAACATTTTCAGACAATATACAACATTTTTAGACAATCTACAACATTTTCAAATATTCTACAACATATTCAGGTACATCACAACTGAGACCTGGAGACAATTTATTTTCTGCCAGTATTGTCTACGATTTTCAGACAATCAAAAAAATGTTTAGGCAACCTACAACATTTTCAAACAATCTGCAACACTTCAGACATATTACAACATTTTTTGATAATCTACAATATTTTAAGACAATTTACAACATTGTCAGACAATCCTCAACTTTAAAATTATATTAGACCATTTGCAAAATCTCTAGATCTTCAACAACTTTAAACTTGATTATCTACGAACTTCAACATTATTAGGCAATCCATGAAATTTTTAGACAATGTGCATTATTTTTTGACAATCTACAACATTTTCAGACAATTTACAACACCGTCAGACAATCTACAACTTCAAAATTATTATTAGACCATTTGCAAAATATCTGGATCTTCAACAACTTTATACTTGTTTATCTATGATCTTCAACATTATTAGGCAATCCATAAAATTTTTAGACAATTTGCAACATTGTAGATGATCTACAACATTTTCAGTCATTTTTAAGACATATTCCATACTATATATCTGTTTGTTTCTATCCCCCTTCTGCTAGAACTTTGAACCTAGCCGTTGGCATTAGTCTTATGAAGTTTCACTTCACTAAAATATCTATTACCCTATTACCATATACTTTTCTACTACTAAATATTTCCATTACCCTAGGTGTGGTGGTCACCATGTCCAAGCCGAGAATGTCCAGAAGAAGAAGTAGTGGATTTAGTAGTCGACCAGTGTGTAGAACATTGTTTGCTGTTTGCTTCGGAGGAACCAGAGAACCCCCTTGCAGGTTCTAAGGATATACTGGATCATGGTGGAATTGGAAATGTATCTGAAAAAGGGCTGTTTCTTGAAAAAGATTGGAAAAATGATAGTTATGCAGATAGCTGGAAAGGGGAAATTGAGGAAAGGTAAGAAATACTAATTTACTTTTTAATTGCGAATTGTTACAAGACATAAAAAATAATAGTTATATTGATATTTACATTAAGAATGAAATTAGATTTCTTGGATTGGAAATTAAAAAAAAAAAATTGTATTGTTGTTCTATAATATTTTGTCTAGTAGGAGAGACTGAGTACGGTTGTACCATGATACGGTAGTGATAGTAGTCATAAGAGCTAAACTTTACTTATTATGAGAAAAGTACCAAGGGGAAAAGATGTAGTATGTTTGTTTGGACAAGTTTCCATTATTGCTTTTATTCATCTGTAGACCGCTAATCCAAAGTAAAAGTTGCATTTGAATTTTTCAAAAAACTTTCTGCTTGTGTTGACAAAAACAATGCTTTTAACGATTTTTTTTTGTTTCTGAAAAAAGTTTTGAAGTAAAACTTCTTTAGGCGCGACCAGGGTGTAAATCTGTAAAAATGCAACCGAAGAGCATTACGCTCGTGTCTAGTGCCAATGATTCATCTTTCGCTCTCGATGATATCATTTTTGTATGGGTCGATTGCGATTGGTCGTCGTGTTGCTTGAGTATGATTGCTTTAATTACATGATGTGAAACAACTGTTCTAGTTCAAATGTCAAAGCTTACCATTTTATTTTACTGATCCTGAACGTAAAGTATTACAAAGTTGAATATTTTTTTAAATAATTATAAATAATAAAGAATGAATTGATATCAGATTTATTACTCTAAACAAGAAATCAAGCACAACAATGTTTGTGTAGCTGTGTATCATTTATATACATATATACTTCATAATGGGCATCTATGCAGTTTATTCATTGATAGTGTTAATGAAATTACTCAAGATTGTTATAAGTCCACTGTGTGAACAAATATTATAGAGTTTATTAATCAGCAATCTTCATTTCTCTGATGAAAATTCTCTAAGGTTCAAGTTCTAAATGCTAATTACAATGACAAACCGATTATGTCGTATTTGAAGTATGACTTTAATTACATTACTGTTTTCAATATTTAATTACATTATTATAAATATTTTTAATAAATATATAATTTATAATTTATTATTATGTATAATGGTTGACATTAATAAATGTGCGCATCACGAGTGTTACCATGTTACTAATGAACATTATTCAAAATTGTTATATTATGTATCAAGTTATTTAAAAAGTTTTACTTCAATCGTTCGCGAACCTTACGCGCACTCTTTTTTTAATTAAATTTTGTTTTTTGAATATTTCATAATGGTACGGAAAGTTCTAGCAATTTGCCTTAAGACACGATGTCATACACCACTAGTTATTATTTGTCTTATTTTAATATTTAACATTCATCAAAAGTTTAAAGAAAACAAATTTGCACTATAGTTGCACGTCTCTATGTAAAAGCACTCTCTTTACCTCTGTTACTCTCTCATCTATGCACTTTGCCATGTCTATGCTTTCAGTTGTCAAGCCTAATGTCAAACAACTAATGTTATCATTTCCAATACAATTACTAATTTAGTTAAATTCACCATAATATTTATGAAGTTCTTTAATTAAAACAGATAATTAAAATAGTAAGGAACCATTTTGCCAATACTTATTGAATATACGCCGTGCAGCATTTAAAAATGTCAGAAGAAGCTAATGTGTCTATCAATAATCAGACAATTAAAATTGAACCACTAGAATATTTAGTAGAAGAGATTGAAGATGAAATAAATGATGATGATGATATTGTTAAGTCTGAATCATCTACTGAAGATAATGATACGTCTTTAGAAAATTTTATGAATTCTGAAGTGACGATAGAGGAAGAAGTCAAACAGGAGATAATCGAGACACCCCTTTCTAAATGTAACATTTGTAACAGGTTATTTGCAGGATTGCATCATTTGCAAGAACATATGATATCACACCTGCCTAGTCCTAGTCATGGCTCCTATCAATGTGATGTATGCTTTAAGGTATTTAAACAAAAGGCATATTTGACAAAACACATGCTTGGTCATACAGGTAAACGCCCTTACATATGTGAAATATGCAGTAAAACTTTCGCACAAACAAGTGATCTGAAGAGGCACATGATCACTCATACAAAAGAGTTTCCTTTTAAATGTGAAGTGTGCGATAGGCCATTCAGTCAGAAAATCCATTTGGAAAGACACATGCTTATCCATAAAGGAGAGTATCCTTATAAATGTGAATTATGTGATAAAGCGTACCGTTTTCCTCATTGTTTAAAAGAGCACATGATTCTTCATACCGGACAACATTCCTATGCATGCGAATTATGCAATAAAACTTTCATTCTGAGTAAAAGTCTAAAAGACACATGGCCACTCACACCTTAGAACGATCTTTTGAATGTGAAATATGCAAAAAAACATTCAATCAAAGAGGCAACTTGATAACACACATGTTTATCCATACTGAGCAACATCCTTATATATGTGAAATATGCAATAAGGCATTCAGGCGAAAAAGTAATTTAGAAAACCACATGTTAATTCATAAGGAAGGTCAGTTTGAATGTGAAATATGCAGTAAGAAATTCAAACAAATACAATCTTTTAAAAGGCACATGCTTCTTCATAGTGGAAAAGAAAGTTCCTCGTGAATGCAAAATATGCAATGAAAAACCTTCAGACATTTATGTAGTCTGCAAAATTACATGGTCATTTATTGAGATACCACATGCATATCCATATTGGTGACCTCCTTTAAATGTGAAATATGCAGTAAAACTTTCAGTAGGAAAAATCACATGTTTATTCAGTGTTAAACGCCCCCATGAATGCAAAATATGTGATAAAACACTCAGACAATTAGACCATCTGAAAAAACACCTTTGTATTAATTGTTTATACATTAATGTGAAATATGAAAAAAGGGTTTTACTCTAAATAAATAGTTATAACTTTGTAATTCAGTTTACATAATTTTTATAAATATTAGACAATATTGCAGTATTTATAATAATCTATTTGAAAACATTTAATATTCATCGAGTATTTAATTCTGGTATGAAAAGTTCCAGAAATTTGCCTTAAGGCACGATGCCATACACCAATAGTTGGTTAATTTGTTAGATGCTTACTTAGTCCATGACAATTTCTGGGTGATTATGTGGGAGGCCCTCTCGCTGATGTGATTTCTGAGTGTATGATAAAGGAAGGTCAGATAGCAGCTGTTTGATATCTTAGATGCGACCATTCATGATATTATTGAATATTTTACTTACTTAAAAATTTCATCTTATGTCTTTACTATACAATTTTTTGCTAAACGTTTTCTGAAACTGTTTTAGATTTAGTAACATGTTTCTTTTTAGTATTATGATTTTTCCACATTGAATATTTTTCATTTGTAATTTGCACATCTACTTAAAATATTTATATTTATAATAATTATATATAGATGAATTTAACTCATAATGCAATGCACTTATTTTGCAATGTTTGCTTAAATATAATAGAATTAATATTTTTAAATAAAAAATTTCTGTTTATGTTGCAAATGTCAAAATGTCAGGTGCACCACCACCTAAATAAAACTAAACATTAAAATAAATTAAATTAAATTGCATTTTAAATTATAACCAGAAAATGAAAAACAATTTAGTTTCAATTAATCATTATTATAATTTATTTTGATTTAAATATCTAAATTTATTTTTACGATTTTTAAATATTTATTTTTGTTTTGAATGTTGGTGTTTGTTAAAGACGAGTTTGACAGTTTGCTTTCACATTTTTTAATAAATAGTTGTACAAAGTTTATTTTAATTATTTTGATTATAAATATTCATTCATTATGAATAATATACGTAAAAATGTAAAATTTAGGCAGTTTCTATTTATGGTTATGAATAAAACCATTAAAGTTTTAGTAAGTTACAAAATTCAATCAAATCTTGTATAAGTCAGCTCTTGGTTGAGATATATAAAGTTTGAAGACATAAATTTGTTTCCAAATATTATCAAAAAATAAAAAACAATTCTGCAAAATATTTAATAATGGAATATCAAGTTGCAAACAATTCCTTTAATGAAGACCTTACTATTTCTGTTGATGCTGAAACAGAATTAAGTCTCGAAGATGATGGGGCATGTTTAGAAGGATTTGGAGGCTCTGAGGTAATAGAAGCAAATGTGAAAGAAAACAATTCTGTACTCTTTGGGACTTGTAAAATATTATATGTATGATCAAAAATGTATAAAAAGGATCTTTAAATTATTCAATAATGGAATATCAAGCTGCAAACAATTCCTTTAATGAAGACCTTACTGATTCTGTCGACGTTGAAACAGAATTAAGTCTCAAAGATGATGGGGCATGTTTAGAAAGATTCGGAGTCTCTGAGGTAATGATAGATGACGAAATTATGGAAGAAAATAATTCTGTTCCACTTGGGACTAATAAAATATTATATGTATGCAAAAAGTGGCTTCTTAATACAAATTAATTATCAAGCGTAAGGTACACACACGATTGAAGTAAAACTCATTTAAGTAAAATAAATACATCACATAACAATTTTGAATTATGTTTATTAGTACAATGGTAACACTCACCATGCACACATCTTTTAATATCAAACATTATACATATTTATATAGTAAAAATTATAAATTATATATTTATAATACCATTAAAAATATGCATAATATTTGAAAATAATAATGTTATTAAAGTCACACTTCAGACATGATTGGTTCGTCATTGTAATTAGCGTTTAGGACTTGAACCTTTATTAGACAAATGTAATTGCTGATTAATAAATTCTATAATATTCGTTTACACAGTGAACTTACAACATTCTTGAATAATTTCATTAACACTATCAATAAATAAACTGCATAGATGTCCATTATACAGTATATCTGTATATAAATGATACACAGATCTCTTATTTAGAGTCTTAGAGTTCTTCATCATTTATAAAAATATGCAACTTTGTAATACCTAATGATCAGGATCAGTAAAATGAAATTGTAAGCTTTCACATTTGAATGAGAACAGTGAAATATCATCGAATCACCAATTTCTTCTTGTCGTGTTTTAGAAACATAATGGTTGAAAGTCTTTCATTTAATTTGTTCAGTCGTTTTCTCCCATTCATCGTCTTCGTTTTAAGAAAAAATAAATAATCCATTAATACTGGTAACTAAATTTATTGCAACATATAAAAGCTGCTAAATATTTGTTTAATAGTATTCGTATCTTCTCTTCAAACATATTACCTTGAGATTTGGGTATTGTAAGTTTTTTACAAGCATGATTTTCTATTTATCTTGTTTTGTTTTTATTCATCGCCATTGTCACGTTTTAACTTCCAAAACTAACATGAAATACTTCATTTGTATCGAAGACTGATTTTTTATGAAATTGCTGACGGAATATATGTTTCTTGATCAGCAAAATGACATAACCCATAAACATATCTGTAGCAATAGATATTGTTAAAGCTCATGCATTTAATATAATTTTCTTTGATGAGTTTCATTAATATTAGCTTCCCCAGATATAGCTTTCCCTCGAATGAATAATATAAGATTTTGACTTTAAATCTTCATTAATTTATTACTTTCAAGAGCTTTAGTAGAAAGAGGAACTGGAAGAGGTACTATAGTTTCCATATTTTTTCCGTTGCATTTGCACAGATTTACTTCCTAAATGATCCTAAAGAAGTTTTACTTCAAAAAAAGTTTAATCTGGTATCGAATTTTAAACAACACCATTGTGGACACACATCAGTTAATAATGAATTAATGGTTGAACTATATTGGGTAAATGGATAAATTATATTTTCATAGATACATTAATTGTTCCAACAATATTTGCTAAAATCAACAAAAATTAGGTGTCAATGTTACTTTTATGTCAACAGTTGCAATCAATCTGCAACAATTTCAAGCAATTTATATCATTTACGAGCTAGTAATACTTAACATTCATTCAATTATTATAATTTATTATTTTTATTACAATTTCATTTATCTGTTCTAGAGACCAAAGCAAAGCAAATGGATCTACAATCATCCAGACATCAACGAGTGATGCCAGGACATTTGAGGATGCCATGAATTACAAAACTGCAGATCAGTCAAATACAGACGATGTGATATTTTTGATTCTGGATATGCATTCAAATCTTGGAGAACCTATAGAACATTTGGGGATAGAAATCGAACAGGATGAGAATGATACCAGCATTGATTATAAACACAGGTAAAATATAAAGGACTCTTTTGTATATATGCATTTGTCTGTATGAAGTAAAATGTCGTATGTGATATTTATGAAACAATATTACGTTTATGTTATGTAACAAATGATTTAAAATATTTCATTCTCCTAGGTTTGGAGAACAGATGTTACTGAAACATGGTGTAAACGTTTCCGATTTGGAAGAGAAGGATTTGCGTTGTGGAGGAACAACGATCTATTCAAATAAATCGAATAATCATCTATATACGATATTCAAGAACGAAGCTCTGTCTTGTATTGTTCAGAAGTGTCGATTCAGGTAAATGCAAATGATACTTGTAATGCGTATTACAAATTTTATAGGATTGAACTTCATAGGCAATTGTATTTTACAATTGCATTTTACAAATATTTATTTGTTGTCTAATTAATAAGAATAAATAAAATTAGAGATTTTTGATAGGATTTTTATCTATAAATCTTATTTTAAGTGGACTTAATTTTAAATTACATTTTTAAATATAAATATGTAACATGATAATTTCAAATAATATTTTCTTACAAAGTGCTCTTTCTCTTGCTTTATTTATCTATCTCTATTTTCGTCTCTTTCTTAATTTATCTAGTTTTGTGTATCCCTTACTTTCTCTTTCTCTATCTTTTTATCTGTTTTAAATTTTTATCTTTATTAACTTCCCGTAGGGTAAGTTATTGTAAGGGCCGAAAATCGGAATTGAAAATTTTAACATTTCTCGACGTTTGAAGGTTTTTGAACGTTTTGGCATACCTCAGAAAAAATGGATGTGTGTGTGTGTGTGTGTGTGTGTGTGTGGTGTGTTGTGTGTGTATGTAGTTGGATACAAATTTCAGTCACGTTTAGGGCGCACGGATCAACCGATTTGAATGGTTCAAAAAACATTCGATTCCTATTGATAGGGAAAGAGCTGATTAGTTTTTGGCAAAGGCAGGTCCAGCCGTTTCGGAGATACGAGCAAAGAGTGCAGAAATAGAAATCGAATTTGAGAGAACGGAGTATTGATTTGAATGATCTAAAAGCATTCAATTAGTAATGATGGAGAAGTGCTTATTAGTTTTGGCAAAGGCAGGCCCAGCCTTTCGAAGAATGGAGCTAAATATGTAAAAAATGGCAGTTTTTGAGAGAACAAGCGTCCGATTTAAATGATTCAAGAACTTTCTGTTGTCTTAACAAAATAATTGATTTGAAAAAAAAATTTTGTTCAATTTTTTTTTTTTTTTTTTTTTTTTAGTTTTATCAAAAATATTTCAGATTTTATTTTTAATTGGCTATAGTTCTAATATACTACAATATTTTCAACTCTGCAATTCAGTTTATATAATCTCATAAAATTAGACAATGTTACAATATTTATAATAATCTATTTGAAAACATTCAGTTCCTCGAACATTTCGGTACGGGAAGTTCCAGCAATTTGCCTTAAGGCACGATGCCTCATAAATGCCTCAAGACAGAATTCCACTTAAGCTAGTTTTTTATATTTTATCTGTTTATTTATCTATCTGTTTATCTAATTTCCCTTTTTTTCCTTTCACATATTTTACTTTTCATCAAGTTTTTTCTCTTTCACTCTATCCTTATAGATTAAATAAATTTCTTTATCTATCCATCTATGCATAGAGCAAAATCGCTAATTTTGTGTTTTCTCGACGTTTCAAGCCTTTCTGAATCGAATGAGACCAAATTTCGAAAAAGTATATGTGTGTGTGTGTGTGTATGTGTATTTTCGGCCGTATTTTGTGCGGGCCGTTTTCTTGTAATAAAGCGTTAAAAATTTTTTTTCGACGATTTTCATGTTTTTTTTTGACGGTAGATACCATAGTCTTGTAGATCATACAAATATTACGGCCCCACGACAAGTGATTTAATTTTGAAAATTCGTCAAGGTTTGCAATAGTTAGTATCTTTTTTGGCGTTTGTCAAAATTAGACCTTTCATCGACGTTTGCTCAGAAACGACTGAACCGATTTCAGAAATTTAAAAGCCATTTGATGTATCACGATGCAGATAAAAAAAAAATTTAAGCCGATTTTTATGGAACTTTTTTGGCAATATATATCATGGTTTTATAAACTTACTGAAAATTTACGGTCTTACGACAACTAGTTAATTTTAAAAAATCATCAAAGTTTGAGAAAATGAGAGTAGTTGTTTTAGACGTTGATTAAAATTAAAATTACACGATTTACTTGGTATGACGATAGAGTACTTGGTCTTAATGAAAATACTAAACTATTAAAGTCCTACGGAAACTGGTTTAATTATAAAAATTGTTGATTTTTGAAAATTTGTTTTTAACAAATATTCCTGTTAACGTGTTTTTTCGTTTTCTATTATGTGTATTAAATCCTCTCGGAATACTTTTAATCAATTATAAATTAATTTATTTTTTATTGATTAAGTCGATTATTTACACATATCGGGAAGTTCATGTAACTTGTCTCAAGGCAAAATACCAATACCAACTAGTTTATTTGTTTCACACTCCTTCTCTTTTGCAATGAATATCTTATTGTTTTAATTTTCAATAGGTATTTTTGTTTATCTGTTTTATTATCTCTAAATTTTTCTCTCTTTCGTCCTCTATTTTTTTCTCTATTTTCTTCGCTATCTCCTTTTCTCACTCTTTCCGTCTATATATGTATTTGTTTCTCACTTGCTCTCTTTTTTACACTAAATATCTTATCTTTTATTTTAACCAGTTTTTCTCCAATTATCTATAAATTATTTATATTTTGTTCTTTTTTTCTATGTCAATCTCTTTGTTTATCTATCTATCTCTATTTATTTTTCTCTCTCACACTGAATATCTTATTTTTTATTTTTCTACGAGTTTTTTTCTATCAAATATATGTCTATCACTTTTTCTACCTCTAAATCTCTTTTTTCTTTCACTCTCTCCCTTTTTTTACACTCATTTTTAATTATTCAATTATTTTCACTTTTATCACATGTATGATGATACTCGAGCACACTTTCTTTATTGTTTTGTCTTAAAAAATCCAATTATTGTGACTTTATTTAAAATCAATTTCTATCCCTTCATGTTATTTTCATTTCCGCATTAAATAAATATTAATTCCGCCAATATTATTAAATAAATGCTTCAAAAGAATGAAATAACTTGCAAGCAAAACCGTCCATTTTGTATGGTAAATCTATGAAACCTTGTAACGTAGCAGGCCACGTAACAAACAACATGTTGTATTCATGTTCAAGCTGATTAAAGATTACAACTAAACGTCACATAAACATTTTTTTAACGTAACATTCAACAACGTAACGACGTTTCTTCTGTGCTACGTTATTTTAACTTTTGTGGTTCACTGGGGTATTGGTGAAACTTGTACAAATTTAAATAATTTATAATATTGCATATTACTGTATTGTTCTATAACAACTTGCTATACTATAATTGCATTTAAGATAAGATGTGCAATTCGAATGTTCTCAAAAGTTGTGCATTTTTGTTTTATCTTCTGTGAACCATTTGATTGATATGAATGAGGTTAAGGATAAAATTGTTCAAAGTTATTTTTCAATTTCAAAGTTTTACTTCATAGGCGCTGAGAAACGCTACACACTATTAATTTTTTTTTCAGGAAAGGTGGTCCAGAAGTCTGTCCACCTGACTATAAAGAGAGCGATGACCAGACTTTCTGGGTCTACTTTGCTCTGAGGTTTTTCGGAACTACAATGTTATCCGCGGGGGTCACCATAATGGACCCCATAGCTCTCATGATGATTGAGAAGTACGGAGGAGACTTTGGAAGGGAGAGATTGTTCTCGAGTATTGGAATGGCTATATTCTCACCAATCACAGGTAGGGGAAAAGGATACAGGAACAATTTTAAACAATAAATTGGTATATTGATTCCTGGCTCTGTTTTCAGGTTTTCTGATCGATCTGAGCTCCAAAAGTCTTGGATACACTGACTACTCTGCAGCATTTTACACCTACGACACATTGCTGGTGATATCTGCTATCACTGTATTCCTGATGCCGTTGGGAGAGAAATTACCAGCAGATAATATTTTCAAGGATTTCCTGAATTTGGTGAAGATGCCTCATGTTATACTGTTCATACTGTTCTTGTTTGTGCTTGGAAACTTTTGGGGATTCATTGAGTCATTCCTGTTTTTGTATCTGAAGGAACTGGGGGCTCCGAATTACCTACTAGGTAGATATAGATATAGATATTAGTAAAATTTGTTCAAGGAGGAAAAAAATTTTCTCCTATTGTCTATAGCTCTCTCTCTCTCTCATGCACTCTTGCTTTCTATCTCTCTCACATACATACTTTTTTTTTATCCTTTTTTCATTTTTCTCACTTATTCTCGATATTTTTTAATATTTATTTTTTATTTCACAGGTATAACTGTCACAGTAGGAACTCTAAGCAGTTTGCCATTCCTGTACGGAGCAGAAAAAATAACAAAAATTTTTGGACATGTCAACTTGATTGTCATAGCATTCTTATCACATGCTGTACGACTTGTGGGATATTCCTTTATTGAGTAAGTCATAGGAATAAAAATATTATAGTCCATCCGAGTGTATGAAGTGAAACTTTATAAGAAGGGATGGTAATTGATCTTTAGTGAACTCGTATGGCTCTTTTATTAAGAAAAAAGGATTTTTTGAAGTAAAACTTCTTTAGGCGCGATATGGGTGTAAAAATTTTTAGGCGCGACACGGGTGTAAATCCGTACAAATGCAACGAAAATGCCAACGTGTAGTTGAACACTACGACGCAGGTAGGCGCTGATGTCGCGAGTCGCGATACACTCCCGTCATGTCATGCGTAAGTCGAGCGCTAAACCCTATATGAACTTGCATTAATTGAATCACGTTTTTTTTACAAAAGAAGAGGTTGCTGTATTATGTCCTCATGGAATAAGACTTTTCTTAGAGAATAAATGTGCCATGGAATATAATAAATTTATATTGAATCTCGTTGAAGACAAAATAATATCTACTGCCACGGATATTTATGTAGGTTGCCATGCGACAGATCAACAATCATACATTCGTCAGCAGTTTCAAAAAAATCGGTTATTGATACCGGGGCTTTGCCGTATGAAATAATTTTAGTTCTGAATAAATTTTACATAATAACAACTAATATTGATGTAAGTGATGGAATAGCTAATGGTTGTGTGGGAAAATTAGTGTACATAGAACGTGGCGATAATGATGAACTTCTACGTTTATGGTTTGAATTTCCCGGTAAGATAGGTAACAAAATTAGGAAGAAAGCTTCACATCATATTCAAACTCTTAATATCAGTAGGACAGCTGTGCCGATGCTCAGGAGATCTTATTATTATTGATGTTATATGATTATTAAAAGATGATTTTTAAAATTCAAATATGATGTTTTTTTTATTTTTATCTTAATTGCCTACTCATACAATATTAAAAGTTTTACTTCAATCGCGTGTGATCCTTACGCGCACTCTTTTTTTTATTGTTTATTTGATGACTTTGTATACAAATACATTAGTCATATACATTTTATAAGATATCTTTACAATTTTATTTTATTTGATTGTATATAATTATATAGTGCACCATATATCATTTTCTGTGTCAATAATGTTATAAAATTGGTCAGGTTGGAGATTTTTTGCCTTACTATCTCCCTCCATAGATCTTGCCTCTCTTTTTCCCATTTTTTGCACTCCATAATGGCGTTCTCTGCATCCGCCCTAGTCAATCCACCCAAGCAATAGCAATTAGAATCGGTGTTGATCCCAATTCTACTCATGTGAAACAGAGTGTATGTATGGTTAAATCTTAGTCTACATATTGTAGAAAAAAACAATCAACATTTAGTAAACTCGTCATACTATGGTCTGATAGGTATTACTTCTTGTGTTGTGCCGTAGAATTTACCTTTGATCTGTTTTGAAGCTATTAGTTAATAGTTATGTAATAATTATCTGTATATTTAAAATAAATTGCTTTTTGTTAATCTCGCTAAAACTAAATCTAAAAAATTATTTATTAATTATTTTATTCTAGTGAAGCCTGGTGGTGTTTTCCATTTGAAGCTCTCGAAGCTTTATCTTGTCATTTAATGTGGGTTGCAGCAGCTACTTATTGCGCCATTTTGGCACCCAAAAATCTATTGGCCACTTTAATTGGAGTCCTGGGAATGGCCCATTTCAGTTTAGGTATTTAGAAAAATGATTAATAAGAAATTACATTTTACATAAACTAATTTTATATTAACATTCTTTTTACATTTTTTTTAAATTAAGATCTTTTTTGTTACAATTACATCATTTGGATTTGATATAACAACCATAATATTTTTTTTTCATAATTTTATGTATATTTTTATTATAATTTATGTCCTTTTCTCAGGTAGAGGCAGTGGCAGTTTTGCAGGAGGCTTTCTCATTGGAACAGTAGGCACGAGGGAGTCCTTCAGATACATGGGACTTATGGCTGTTGCTGGAGGACTTTTATATAAATTGTTACATGTTGTTTGGTTACGAAAGGTCGAGGAAAAGTTGAAGGCTGCTGATAATGATTGCTTAGGTACAGTATTTGAAAAATGGTAAAATAGTAAGAAAGTTTGTGTAAAGGAGATAGAAAGATATCTAAGTATAGAAAGAAATTATATATTTATTGAATTATATTGAAAAAAAAAACACTATATGTTACGGTGTCAATTACACCTTTCTGCTGCTTTTGCCGTTATCGTCTCATATATTATTAAGGGGGTTGTTTGGTTTTTATTTATTTTTTTTCGATTTTGAGAATTTTGATATTATGAAAGCTAAAAACCTTAGAATTATTTAAAAAAAAATCATCTCAATATCTATTTTTTTGACGAAGTTATAGATATATATATATATCTCTATATGTATGATCCTCTGAAACCAGTTTTTTCATCTCTCCGCGAGCTATTGTGTGCCAGCTGCTCTCTTTTTCATTATAATACCTCATGCATGTGACCTTTTTAATGTGTCAGCATTCTTTGAACACCATGTTAAATTAAATGGTGTATTTAGTACATTATATTAAAAACTTTAAATACTTTTCTCAAATTGACTTTTTTTAATGCGGTGCCACAAATTAAAAAAAAAGTACAAGTCGGATCGACTTGCATTTTTTTTTAATTTGTTCACCACTGCAATACCTAGTCTCCCTACCTCAAACAACTTGATAACATTACGCAAAAAATTTTTGTAAAGCTTTTTGCCCCACAAAAAAGGCCTTTTTTAACAATTTTTTTTAAATAGCTGCCATTTTTTCCTTCTTGCTTTTTTTCTTTCATTTTGGTAGGGGGATTGGATTCAAACTTCTTCTTCGACGTAGTTTCTTTTTTTTTGTTTCAGACGATGCGCAACGGATTTATCTGTGGCACTGCAAAAGAAATCGATTTTGCAAGGCTGACTTTAGCGCTTCCTGGTTAAAAAATGACGGCGAAAAAAAAATCGTAATATTCTATGATTTTGTAATTTTTGTTTAAAAAAAAACTGCACCTCTCTATTATAAATACATTTCGAGAAAAACAAAAACAAATACCTTACATTTTTTGTAGAAAAATAACGAACAAACCCCTTAATTACTACACTTTTAAAAGCTTGTGTGCATTACAATTATTGGAAGAATTAAAAACGATAATAGGCATAAAAATGAAAATATTTATTAAATGGTGGAGTAATTTTTACGCGCTTGGATTGATGTGTCTAGTATCGCGACTAACTTAATACTGAATTTATAAATTTAAAAATATAATATAAAATTTATTAAAACTGCCTGGAAGGCGGAGTTCACAAATATACTATTACAACTATAAAATTTGGAATTTTATAGTTTTTAAATTTGGGAATTTGGGATATAGTATGGATACATTAGTCATAAAAATATAAAAAGGGATGCATATTTACTTAAGCTATGGAAATATATAGGAAAAATTTATATGATTTGCACGTGCATCCCGTACTCACTCAAACTAAATAATGATCATAAAATAATTAATAACAAATTCTTAACACTACATTGAAAATTTCATAACCAAATCTTTTGTTGGCGCCCCCTAAGGCGTGCGCTTGTATTTATTGCATACGTCGCATTCAAGGTAGAACCAGCCCTGATTATTACTTAATTTCATATTTTAAAGAATTAATTTGTCAAATCCAGTTCATATGTGTATCATTCAATCTACCATACAAATACTGTATCTTATATTATTTTAATTTCTGGCACATCTCAGCTGCTTTTTAACAATAATAATGCAGACATTTTATTTTTCTTATTCATAATAAGAATTTATTATACATATTCTAATATTGTCTAGGCTCATAAGTAAATTGAAATTTTTGGCAGATAATAGTTTTCATTTGTTTTCAATGCCAAACAATGTCTCAAATAATAGGTTGTCAAATATCTCTCTTCTGCCTTTTTGTATTATAAACCAAGAGCAAAAAAGCGGAAGGGAGATATTTGACAACCTAATATTTTCAATGTCAAACAATGACATGTCGTTTTTTGCATTTTTTTCTATGTATTTCTACAATCTAATTATATTTTTATAATCACATACATCCTAAAAAATTCCCTTAACAAACTTCTGAAAAATTTATCAAAATCCGAATAATCGTTTAGGAGGAGTATATTTACATACATAATTGCAGAAGAATTTTATATATAAGATATTCTTTTATTGATTTACTGATTTCTTTAATTTTTACCAGACAACGGAGAAAACGAAAAGCTTCAATCTATGGAACCAACACACAAGGATCAAAGCACAATGGTTTCAGTCGAAAGACTGTCATTGATGATTAAATATAATCAGATAGGATCCCTGACATCATTACCAAGAGGCTCAAAGGTTTGTTAATATTTAATTATATTATATAATATATATTATAATATATATTATAAGTCAATATATATATTATAATATACATATATAATATATATATATATATATATATATATATATATATATACCCACTAAGCCAAAATCCGTAATATTTATGTAATTTTTACGCAAAAAAGTTACATACTTATGTCATTTTTACGTAAGATTAATGTAAGATATGTGTCATAATTTCGCCTATTTTAAGTAATGTGGATTACGTAATATGGATTACGAAAATATTTCATAATAATTACGTAATTTTTGAAAAAAAAATGACGTGGAGGGGCCCCTTTTTACACACATACATAAATACATACAGGCATATTCGTATATATGAACACACACACACACATACACACATATGCGTATATGTGAACACATACATTCATGAACTTAGGAATGCGTATACACATAGTATGTACATACATATATAATTTATATGTATGTACATACACACACACACACACATATATATATATATATATATATATATATATATATTATCTGAAAAATAAAAGAAAAAGCACATTTATATGGTATGTTTATTTTTTCGGCATATGTATACAATTTTAACATTAGCAAATCCACAAAGTAATAAATAATAATTCACAATTTTTATAAAATAATGTAATTACATATGACATATTTATCAACATTTTCATGGCAAATGGAAAAATATACAATATGATAAATGATAAGAGAAATGCAAATTTAAAATTAAACTCGAAATAAAAATCATCGAAATATCCTTTACAAAGTCTTCATAAGTTCTTTCACTAAATATTTCATATTATGTATATATTATGTAATTAGGAATTGTATCTTCAGTTAAAACTAAATGTGGTATAAGTCTATGATGTCTTCTCTACAAAAGCATTCTCGATATTTATTTCATGGCCCATTTGTGATGAAGAAATGCATCTCGGATATGAATTATTAGCTTTCGATTTTCACCTGAAATAAAAAACATGGTAATAATTTCTATTTAACTTTTAATACATATGTTTTTTTATATACTTACCCAAAGCAAATGGTTTTCAAAAGGCCAAGTGATTCTGTTATAAATAATTTGTCACTGATTTTTTATTAACAATAAAATAATATTTAGAATATGAAGAATAGAATAGAAGTTATTTATATATCTAATTATTATTAGAAAAAAATTTAATAACACACACGATCAATTTTTAGGTTAATGGAGCGTTTTAGAGTAAAGATTTAAGTAATTCATGTAATTTAAGAGCCTTTAAAATACATTTATTATAAACATATATTTTCACATATTTAATATCACTTTCACATTTAATTAGCAAATTAAAAATATTAATTAGACACTACAAAACACAACACTTAATTCAAAACACATGGCGAATAGTCCCATCTCCCATAATGCATTTCAGGATAACTTGTTAACTTGGCATCATAGCCTAGGCTAGCGGCCGGCGGCCGGCGACTGCCTCGCAGGATTAACGGTACTTATGTCGCTTAAGGCCGTTCATTGGTTGACAGTTTCGCTCATGAAACGAAATATTCCGAAAAATCACGAGCTGTCGATCTTTATGTAATATATATGAAATAAAATCCTCATTTTTCTTACGTAATATTTTTTGCAGGCGAATTACGTAATATTTTTGTAATTATTTCGTAATATCTGATTACGTAATGTAGATTACATATTTCTTACACTAAAATTACGTAATATTACGTAACTGGTTTAGTGGGTATATATATATATATATTATACAATATATTATAATATATATTATAATATATATATATATATATATATATATGTCAATAATAAAATGATATTATTTTTCTTTTTCAGAGTGAATTAGATTCTTACACTCGATCCAGAAGGAGCAGCTACAATCCCGAGTTCACCAAAGGCTCCAAGAGAGGCAACAGTGCATCCAAAGTGGATTTATTAAAATCAGCTTTAGAAATCGATGGGTCGAGAATGTCCTCATCGAATTTATTAAATAAAACTAAATTCCATTCAGGTGAAAAGTTTGGACAGAACAATCTTGGAAAAACTGTTCTGGGGAAGAGCAACGCCGCTTCGGCTATGGTCATAGGAAAATTAAATAAGGTAACAAAATAAGTATAAATACAATTAGGTGTTAGTGGCATCATTGTCTTGAGACATGTGTTAGTGTAGTAAATGGAGAGGCAAAAAAGGGGTAACCTATGTTTTTTTTTACTGTGCTCCAATATGCATTAAACTTTGGAAATAGGTTAATCTTACGCTTAAGTTCAAAAGTGAAAACAACTTGCACTCCGCCAAGTGCCATTCCGGGGGGATGATACCATTTCTCAGTGGTGCAACTTTATTTTTTCTATTTCCGAAAATAGAAAGTGAAATTTTTTTACATTTCTCGACGTTTTGAAAGTTTCTGAACATTTTGGCATACCTCAAAAAAATTGGATGTGTGTGTGTGTGTATGCATGTATGGATACAAATTTCCAGTCACGTTTTCGGGCGCACGGATCAACCGATTTGAATGGTTCAAAAAACATTCGATTCCTACTGATAGGGAGATGTGCTGATTAGTTTTTGGCAAAGGCAGATCACTTACAAAGACAAAGAGCAGAGAGTCTAAATTCTAAAGTCTAAAGTCTAAGGGCCGAAAATCTAAATTGAAAATTTTTACATTTCTCGACGTTTTGAAGGTTTCTGAACATTTTGGCATACCTCAGAAAAAATGGATGTGTGTGTGTATGTATGGATACAAATTTCCAGTCACGTTTTCGGGCGCACGGAGCAACCGATTTGAATGGTTCAAAAAGCATTCGATTCCTATTCATAGGGAGAAAAGCTGATTAGTTTTTGGCAAAGGCAGGTCCAGCCGTTTCGGGGATACGGAGCAAAGAGTGCAGAAAATAGAAATTGACATTTTGAGAGAACGGAGTATCCGATTTCAATGATCTAAAAAACATTCAATTAGTAATAATTGGGAGAAGTGTTTATTAGTTTTTGGCAAAGGCAGGCCCAGCAATTTCGAAGATACGGAGCTAAATGTGCAAAAAATGGCAGTTATTGAGAGAACTAAGCGTCCGATTCAAAGAACTTTCTGCTTGTCTTAACAAAATAATTGATCTTAGATAAAAAAAAATTGTTTCAATTTTTTTTGTATATCGAAAATAATTCACATATAATTTTTAATTCTAACTATAGTTCTAATATACTTTAAACAAATAATTTCAACTTTGCAATTTATTCTAAGTTTATATAATTCTTAAAATTTTAGACAATGATGCAATATTAATAATAATCTATTTGAAAACATTCAGTCTTCCTCGAACTATCTGTTACGGTACGGGAAGTTCCAGCAATTCGCCTTAAGGCACGATGCCATACACCCCACTAGTTTTTAATATAACGTCGGATATCGATAGAAAAACTAATTATATGAAAAGTTTTTAAAAAAAACTAATACTTGGCTACTAAAAATTCATATATTATTATTAGCCAAAAACTAATTAGCGCGTCTTCCTAACAATACGAATCGAATGTTTTTTAAATTATCCAAATCGGTGGATTCGTGTTCCCGAAATCGTCGACGATTTACATTACTCATAGTGTAATGAATATTATTCTAAAAATCGTATAGCACTTGGTGAGACCTTGCATGTCATAAAACGAGAAAAAGGAAATTTGAAGCAAAACTTCTTTAAACTTTAGACTACAAAATTTGCAACAATAAAATTAATCATATCTAGCCAGATTTATTCTAAAATTCTATTGACCAAATGTCGAGAAAAAGGTAAATTTTATCAAACACACATTTTTTTTTTCAATTTTGATATCAGACGATTCAGAATGAAACAACAAATTAAAAACATAAACTTCTCATTTGGGAACTTATTAAAAATATGTTACATTTATGATTCAGGAACTGATGCTGGAGACTCGAGCAGTGAGTGCTCCTAAATTAAATCAGAAGAACCAACCGAACCCTGCTCAGCCACCAAGTTTAAGTGTCATTGATATTGAAGACTACAAATTGCAGCAGAGACCTTCCATTCCAGAAGAAACTGATGTTATTTGACAATAAACTATGATATATATATATATATATATATATATATATATAGTTATAGTTTAATTTAATAATAATAATAGTATCGAAGAACAGAATGAAAACATTTTTTACTTTAATGATAATATTATTTTATTTAATCAATTGCAAAAATATATAAGCAATATTTTAAAATTATTGTCTTAAAAATTTGATCTTTTAAAAGATACCTAATAATTATTAGGTACATATTATTATTGTAACTGTTTTTTTAATTATAAAAACTATTTAATCCAAGTTAATGATCAAAGTTAAAACAAAAACTTTATTTAATGTTTCTACATCATGAAGTTTATAGCAAAATACGTTAAATGAGAAAAGTTGATAAATTATGTAAATACTTTAGTAAGCAATGTCCATTTTTTATATTTTATACAAATTAATTTAATATTGTTTTTATTTTTTGTCGTACATACTATACTCAGGCTGTTGTACAAATTTATAGTTAACTACTATATATCACAAAAATTGTTATCATAAAAATGTTGATCTTTGAGTAAATAATTTTATTTATTTATCTTATTTCTTTTAAAAAAAAAACATAGTAAGAAACATTAATCAATAGTTAAATTAGAATGGATAGTGTTATGTGATTACATGCATAAGTGTGATAAGTGAGTGTTTGATATTTGTTCTATAAAGGATTTCGTTAATTTCTTGTAAGTGTTTAAGTCAGGACTTCTTAAACTTTTGTCCTCCGGGACCCCATTTATAACTGCGAGTTTCTCAACGACCCTATTTATAACCGCGAGTTTCTGGACAACCCCACAGATATAAAAAAATAAATTAATATTTTTAAATAATTCATTTATTTGGTAACAAATTTGGGGTCGCAACCCCTGGTTTAGGAAGCCCTGGTTTAAGTGGTATTTTTTTAAACGAAACTTCTAATATGACTTCCAACCTTAGACATTACATACATGGACTACTAGTCCTTATGTGTTTTTCGTTGTAAAAAGTGCTTAAACAGTGAAGGGTATGTGACGCCACATGACTGAGCGAACATTGCCGACGACAATCGCGAATTCTCCTGATTGATCAAATGTCATATGTCATATGTCATAAGTGCCTAACATAGGCCTTATAATATATAACCCGATTTTATCAGGTGGATTCCATTTTATATACATTTATTTCACAGGTGAAATATTATTATCATTTCTTACAAAATTAATGGTCATCACAATTGCCATTATATTATTAAAATAAAACTATCATAGGAAATATTTGTATTAAATTAACTATTGCGATAAATATTATTAATATCATTTTTCATAAAATTATCAGTCCACACAATTGTCATTATATTATTAAAACTAGCTGTAAGTGGAATTCTGTCTTAAGGCAATTAGGGCACCGTGCCTTAAGGCAAATTGCTGGAACTTTCAGTACCGCAATTCAAAATTCGAGTAATTAAAAATAATCAATAATAATCAATAAAAGATGATCAATGATTTGAAACTTTTAATAGAGTTTCGAACCATATTGAACCATAATCGAACCATCATTTGCAAAAACATACCGTGTTGATAAAAACGTAATTTCTGAAATATATTATAATTAATCAATAATATATTATATATTATATATATTAATTATTAATATATAATAATTAAATAATACAATAATCAAATAATTCAAAAAAATATTTTAACATTAGCATTTCCCAATAAATTAATTTCAACAAATGAGACTGATTATATTTTAATCAAAATGTGACTATAAATGCTTAAATATTTTTATTTGTCAAATTTTACTTAAAATTTAAAATGTTTACTTAAAATGATATAATTTTCATGAAGTACAAAGAAAATGGAAAATAAATAGAATTATATATAATTATATATATATATATACTGCGGAATTTTGAAAACTATTCGTATTCATACTGAAATTTTATTTTATTTATATTTTTTATATTTATCTAAATTGAGGCAGTATTTTTCAGTGAGTAAAATAGTATTGTCAATAGAATAAATAAAAACATTGCTGCCAATTGAACTTTTAAAGTCGAAAACAAATTTTGAACTTAATTATATTTTATTTGAAATAATATTTTGTTTAAAGTATATTAGAGCAGAATTAAAATAAAAATCTCAATTATTTTCGATAAATAAAAAAAAAATTTTTTTTGAAATAAAAAATTTGAAACGAATTTTTTTTTCCAAAATCAATTATTTTGTTAAAACAAACAGAAAGTTCTTTGAATCATTCAAATCGGACGCTGAGTTCTCTCAAAAACTACCATTTTTTGCACATTTAGCTCTGTATCTCCGAAACCGCTAGACTTGCCTTTGCCATAAACTAACCAACACTTCTCCTCGTCATTACAAATTGAATGTTTTTCGGATCATTCAAATCCAATGCTCCGTTTTCCCAAAAACTCGATTTTTATTTTCTGCACTCTTTGCTCTATATCTCCATAACTCCTGGACCTGCCTTTGCCAAAAACTAATCAGCACATCTTCCTATTAATAGGAATCGAATGTTTTTTAAATCATTCAAATCGGTTGATCCGTGCGCCCGAAAACGTGGACGAAAAATTGTATCCATACATACACACACATCCATTTTTTCTGAAGTATGCCAAAATGTTCAGAAACCTTCAAAGCGTCGAGAAATGTAAAAATGTTCGATTTCGATTTTTGGACGATTACAATAACTTACCTTACGGGAAGTTAATAAAACATATGACATATGACATTTAATCAATCGGGAGAGTCCGCAATTGTCGTCGACAATGTTCGCTCAGACATGTGAGACACATATCCTTCTATACTCTTCTTTTATCTATGCTTCTATGTTTGTCACTTATTTTGCGCTCGACTAGCAGTCCATGTAATATAAATTCTATGCAGTCCATGTAATATAAATTCTAATGCATTCTATGCATTACGTTTATTAATTTCCCGTAGGGTAAATAATTTCGGATAAGTTCGACCCAGTTCGGCTACCCCCTCTCCCGAAGTTCAAAGGTACAACAATCGGCAACAAACGTGTGCCGGTCAAATGTCATTTTGTCTTTTTTTTGTTTGTGTTTATTGCGACAAGGCGTATGAAAAAGTTTTAGTGAATAATGTGTTATAGCAAATTGTGACGTAATATTATTGAAGAACTGGTTCTCTGTTAAGTGATTTTTGAATATATTATATCTGTGGACATTGTTGATATTACCTACTTTGGTGCCAGGATTTGATAATTGGATAATACAGGTAAGAAATTAAAACATTAATTATACTATTTTTAACTTCTCGTAGGGCAAGTTATAGTAATCGCAAAAAAATCGAAAATGAAAATTTTTATTTATCTTTACGTTTCAGAGATTTCTGAACATTTTGGCATACCTTAGAAAAAATGGATGTATGTGTGTGTGTGTTGTGCGGATACAAATTTTCGTCGACGATTTCGGGAACACGGATCAACCGATTTGAATAATTCAAATAGCATTCGATTTGTATTGATAAGGAGACGTGCTGATTAGTTTTTGGCGAAGGCAGGTCCAGCCGTTCCAAAGATACGGGGCAAAAAGTGCCGAAAACGGTAACTCAGTTTTTAAGAGAACGGAGCGTCCGATTTTAGTAATTCAAAAAACATTTTACTTGTATTGACAAGATGCAGAATTGATCAAATTTTCATGAAGGCAGGTCTAGCGGTTTCGGAGATCTAATGAAAAAAGTAAAAAAAATGCCATTTGGCGGTCAAAAATGATCATTAGACATATGCATATCAAATTATCAGATATTTTATAGAGATTTTAGCAATAAGTATATTTTTTACATTTATATGGGTTCCGTTCCAATGGTTATTCGTTAGACGGCGGCGCGGCGCTTACGCGCTTTGACATTTCGTCTCTATGCAGTTCAAGCAGTTCGATTGCTTTGAAAAAAAGTTCGGAATTTTCAAAATATGACAAAATAAAGAAAACATTTTTTTTTCAAAAAAAATTTTTGTCTTTAAAAAAAAAATTTTTTTTTTTCAAAAAAAGTAAATTTTTGTCAAATTTATAGTTTCTCAAAAATCTAATTTTTTCAGAGTAAATTTTATTCAAAAATGTTAATCTTAAAAAAATAATAATCATTTTTGGTACGGGAAGTTCCAGCAATTTGCCTTAAGGCACGAGGCCCTAATTGCCTTAAGACAGAATTCCACTTACAGCTAGTTATAAATAATTTTTACAAACTGAGTTCTCATTTGGTTTTGTTTACCTGCCATTAGAACATAAGAAGTATGTAAATTGTCGAGATTTTTGCTGATGTACTAAATCATAAATTATATATTTGATTAAAGTAAATTCAGATTACCTATCAATGCAACATAGAACTTTTGTGAAAATGTGGTCAGTTTTCATTGTGGTTAATTTTTATTAATTTTGTGGATTTAAATTTTGGATCCGTAATCGTATATAACATTTCTAGGATAACAGTCAGTTATACGATACAATTTTTTTGTTTAATGAATTTGGTCGAGTTTGACAGATCATCCTTTGAAGAAAATTGACTAAGGGGGCGTCGATTATTCACGTGATCATTTTTTCATGAATTTATGTACCCCCCCTCCCTTTTCCCCTTGGTGATATTCAAAATTAACCCCGCTCCCTCACTAAACATCACGTGTATTTTTAGTTAGAAAAGAACTTGTAAATTTTTTGATTTTTTTTTATAATGATTGTTTTTTTTTTAAATAAAATCAGATAAAAAATTAATGCGAAATCCACGAAATACCACATGGGAGAGGGAGGGGTGTAGATGGATATCACGTATCCATCTACACCCCTCCCTCTCCCACGTGATATTTCGTGACTTTTTGAAACCCCCCCCCTTCCCCGTAAGATCTTACGTAATTATTGGATGCCCCCTAAAGTGTTTTGGCAACTTTTCATCAAAAGTTCGAGCATTTTATAAGAAGTGAAATATTAAAATAATTAGGTTTTATAATAAAAAATAAAATTTGTTCGAATCTGACATCATCACCTCTAAAGAAGTATCTCCTCTAATCACGTCATCATTTTTTTAGGAATTTTTGTACCCCTCCTTCCTCTTGGTGATACGTGGTGATATTCAAAATCATCCCCCTTTTAGTTACAAAAAGAAATTGTATTTTTTTATTTTTTTCATAATGATTGGATTTTTTTAAAAATAAAATCAGATATAAAATAAATACACGTGATATCTTTTTATATCCCTCCCTCCTCCACGTGATATTTCGTGATTTTTTGACAAACCCTCACTTTCCCTAAAAATCTTACGTAATTATTAGGGGTGGTCCCTTAAAGTGTTTTGGCAAATTTTCATCAAAATTTTCTCTAAAGAAAATTCACTAAGGGCGTCCATTAATCACGTGATCATTTTTTAAAGGATTTTTGTACTCCCTTACCCTTGGTGATACGTGGTGATATTCAAAATTATCCCTCCTCCCCCAATAAACATCACGTGTATTTTAAGTTAGAAAAAGAAATTGTAAATTTTTTGATATGTTTTTATGATTGGATTTTTTTTCAAATAAAATCTGATAAAAAATAAATACACGTGATATCTTTTTATACCCCTCTCTCCCCCACGTGATATTTCGTGATTTTTTGACAACCCCCCCTTCCC